GGGGGTTGACACGTGGGGTGGGTGGGTGCTGGGGGGGCAGGGCTGGGGATGAAGCAAGTCAACAGGGTTGTATGGACAGATGTCTTGCTTCCTGTGTAGTACCTCCTTTGGCTCCAATTCTACACGCACCCATGCATGTGCTTAACTTTAAGCCCCATTCTGGGACTACTCACAAGCTTAAAGTTAAGCATGTGTGTTTGCATGATCAAAACCTATGTGAATAAACCATCTTTAGCTTCCAGAGTTGTCAATCTGCGCTTTTTGCCAGAACTAATTACACTTTAAAATTTGTAAATTTGGGGGCGGGGGACAAAGTGCCCAAATATGTCAAAGAAGTTTGGCAAAATGGGGATCACTGTTTTGAAGGTCACAGCATCTTTTGGGGCTTTCTATGGCTGTTCTCTCCCGTGGATTATTATTTCATTATCCCTCTGCCCCCTGCCCCTGAAAGCTGTGGGCACTTGAAAAATTAAATAATAAGCCATGAGGTAGGATAAATGTCCCAAATTCAAAACCCAGCCTTTCATCATCAAGGCCCTATGCATCGCTGTTCTTATTTCATCCTGCTCACCTTCTGGGAGGGCCTGTCATGTGATCAAATATCCATCCTGCGAAACTAACAGGAATCTAAGATTAAGAAAATTAGCAACATTAAAGTGTTGTATTCACATCTGGGAGGAGACTGCTCTTGTGAAGGTGATCTTGTGAGTCAATCAGGAGATCTGGTTTCTAATCCTAGCTCTGCCACAGATTTACCATGTGGCCTTGGGTAAGTCAGTTAATCTCTTTATTGCCTCAGTTTCTCTAGATGTAAAAATGGGTTAGCAATGTGACTAAAGGAAGACAAGATAACATGAATCAATGTTTGTCAAGTGCTTTTGTGGTTCTTAATTGGAAAGCCCTAGAGAAGGGGAAAGTATCATTCGTGTTGGTGTTGCTCTTCCTTACAGCCTACATTTATCTGTAGGGGTTTCTGTAAGCTTCTCTCTCTCTCCTCAGGACAGCAGTGATCATGACTTCCATAAAGGAGCAGGCAGCCATCAGCAGACTGATGGGGTTCTTGCAGGAATGGGACAATGCTACCAAAGCTGCTCGTAGCCACATTCTGGACAATTTCATTAAGGCGAACCAAGGCAAGACAGGGCCAGAGTTGGAGCTGGAATTCTCCCAGGGAGCCAGCTTGTTTCTGGCCCGCATAACTGCATGGCTCAGGCTGACGTATCTGCTTCCTTGGGTGTTGGCACAAGAGAAGGGAAGATCCTCTCCCAAATGTCCTTTTCCCCAATATGATTTAAGGTAGCTCCCCTCCCCCATGTGGAAATACCTGTGGCCAGCTAAGTAGTTCAGGGAGAAGAGCTCAGCCCGTGAAAGCTGAAATCTGAGGGAAGTTCCACACCAAGAGCATTAGCGTAACGCCTGCTTTCTGTGACATGGAAGTTTTTGGGTTGCTATGCAAGATTCCCCTTGTTTTCTCCTTCTCCTCTCACAGGCCCTATCTCACTACATCATCACATCCTTCTAGCTGAGGACAAAATGTGACTCCCTGCCAAGGCCATCAAAGCTGTCATCAGGGAATCAATTCACACCCGCCGGCTGCGTCTAGATTGGCATGATTTTCCGGAAATGCTTTTAATGGAAAAGTTTTCCGTTAAAAGCATTTTCGGAACAGAGCGTCTAGATTGGCACGGACGCTTTTCTGCAAAAGCACTTTTTGCGGAAAAGTATCCGTGCCAATCTAGATGCGCTTTTCCGCAAAAAAGCCCCGATCGCCATTTTCGCGATCAGGGCTTTTTTGCGGAAACCAAATCTGAGCTGTCTACACTGGCCCTTTTGCGCAAAAGATTTGCGCAAAAGGGACTTTTGCCTGAACGGGAGCAGCATAGTATTTCCGCAAGAAGCACTGATTTCAGACAGTAGGAAGTCAGTGCTTTTGCGGAAATTCAAGTGGCCAGTGTAGACAGCTGGCAAGTTTTTCCGGAAAAGCGGCTGATTTTCCGGAAAAACTGGCCAGTCTAGACACTGCCACCCTGAGGAAGAGTATGCTGCACCCTTGGTGGCTTGTGACCCCGCTGGCCTGGAAAATTAAGGCCTGTTCCCTTTCCCAAAGACAGGTTCCCCAGGTGCAGTCAGTGCCACATATGGGCACCAAGGTGCCAGCCACAGCAGTTGCAGTGACCAGGTTTAATGTGACAGATTGTCTCCGTATTTGTTCCTTAACATTGTCAATCAGCTATATGTACGGAACATACCTAGATCGGCAGCTAAAGTCGATTGGCATCTTCCTGTCAGCTGCAAGTAGGTGAGTATAACTATGTCACTTCAACAAGGATTCTTTAGGGGGTTTGAACATCCCAGAGCTGTACCAGGGTGGGGATTGGGAGGTAAGAGGCCAGTTCTAATATTTTACTGAGCTTCAGAGGGGTAGCTGAGTTAGTCTGTAACTGGGAAAACTAAAAAAACAATGAAGAGTCTTGCAGCACCTTAGAGACTAACAAAACATGTAGATGGTATTGTTTCAGGCCCATTTCACAAGCCAACTCCGTAGGGAAGCCTCAGAATTTAACTTCATTTACAAGTTTGATTCCTATCACAGAGGTATGAACAAAGACTGGCTGGATGGCCCACTACATTCTACATCCTAATGACATAAAAACCAAACAATGGGTACTTAAATACAGTTAGTACCTTCTCTGTCAGCTTCATGTAGCATGGACACTCTGACTATTTCTTTCACCTTTTTTTTCTTCCTTTTCCTCCTCTTCCCCCCATCCCCTATTTATTTAGAAACTGGACCTTTAATACTCCAATCATCTGAAGAAGTGGGTTGTGCCCACAGAAGCTCATGATCCCATCTACATCGGGGGTCTCCAGTCTTTTTAAGCACAAGATCACTTTTTGAATTTAAGTGCAGTCCAGGATCTACCTCAAACCCAAATACCCTTACCTCACCTCCTTCCTGCCCCTACTCACTCCATCCTCCCTCCCTCTGGCGGGGCAGAGGGTTGGGGCACAGGCTCTGGTCTTGGGCTAAGGGATTTGGAGTGGGAGGGGGCTCTGAGCTGAGCCTGGAGCAGTGGCTTGGAGTGCAGGAGGGGGTTCATGTCTGGGGCAGGGGATCAGAGCTGGCTCCAGCTGGACCCTGCTGACCCCAGGTGGCTCCTGGGGGGTGGTGCAATGGGGATAAGGCAGGCTCACCCCTGCCTGTGGCCCTGCACCACTCCCAAAAGCAGCCAGCAAACTCCATCCCTCCCAAGCTCTGTTGTGCCCCCCCATACTCCTCGTTCTGTGGAGATAGAATACAGGGTAGGAGAGGGGACACCCTGACATCAGCCCCCCCTTGCCTTTTCCCTTCTCTGCTCTTTGCTGCATGCAGGAGGCTCCCGGGGAGAGGCAGCTCCAAGGCATAGGGCAGGAGGTGCGCAGCAGTGCGGAGAGGGGCAACTGAAGTGCTGTGCTTGATCGCCTCTTGGCCAAACCAGTCAGGATCAGCTGTCACAGGCGCCAAGACCTACCAGTCAATCTCCATCGACTGGTTGGTGGCCACTGAGCTACATGTTTTGTTAGTCTCTAAGGTGCTGCAAGACTATTTGTTGTTTTTTGAATTTTATCGTGAGGATTGTCTGGAAAAGGGCAACAAAAGCAGGGATCATGGTCTGTTCCTTTCCTGGTCCCTTTGTGCTTCCCAAGAGGTAATTATCTCCCCTGGTAGCCTGTTGGTAGCCCCTGTATGTGGAAATATCTGTGCTTACCAAGAATACTGTAAACAATACTGTCCAATTGCTCAGTGACGCCCAGAAGTGGACTGATTGCTAGCACACTAGTTAGGGATCCAATGAGCACCCTGTGTATGGAGACCCACGTTCTCTGTGCATGTACTTCAGTACCCAAATGTGGACACTCATGGTACGTTTACACTGCGGTGCTATTTTGGGATACTTCTGGTATCCTGAAATAGCTATTCCACGTCCTGACAGCGTGCCCATTATTTTGAAATATCTTTCGAAATATCCAAAGCAGTATTCCGATGTCCCTGTAAACCTTGTTCCACGAGGATGAAGGGACGTTTCGGAATAGCGGGTTATTTTGAAATTTGGTGCTGTATGAAATAAGCTATTTTGATATACACTCAAAATAAGCTACGTAATTTGCATAGTGCAAATTATGTAGCTTATTTCGAGCTAAGGGTGCTGCATAGACGCACCCTCAGAGGTAAATATCTCACCTGGTAGCCTATTGGGAGCCCATCATACTGCCAGACCGCTCATTCATATTGGGGTTCCAAGTCAAGTTCTGGTTCCTGTCCTCTCTGTGGTGGAACATAGAGGAAAGGAAGCAGGAAGAAGGTTCCCAGTCATCTGGAGATCCAAGGAAGGAAGATTTTGTTCGAAGTGTGTTACATTTTCTGCTTTGTTCCTCTCATCCCTGTAGCCTCAGGTATCTTATAGAATTTCTGGAGGTTGGAGGCGTTCTGACTCTTCTGGAAATACTAGGGCTAAACCAACTGAAGGAAGCGGACAAACGGGAGTCGATAAAGCTACTCCAACTAGTAGCAAATGCTGGCAGGAAGTATAAGGAGCTCATTTGTGAAAGCTATGGTAGGTGCCATGCCATTCATTGTCTTTATCAATGGAATGGCACACATCCATATAGGCAGGGACATACTCTCTAACCGCCAAACATCAAGGGCTCTTCTCCAAGCTAACCTTGTTCTTTTCACTCTATGGGAGGCCTAGCGATCGGAGATTGTTTTAGATTTTTTCTTGTTGAAAGGAGTTCATAGTCTCAGCCATTGCTGAGGGGTTACATTTAATTCCTCTTCTAATTTTTAAGGAGCCTACTTTTGGTACAGTATTTTTCCTTTGATGTATTTCAGTAGTCATGCTGGATACAACGGCGGTGGTTAAGGTTGCAAAAGAATTGCCATTACAACCTGCTGTGTTTACCCAATGCTACCTCTCCACATTTTCTCTCTTGGGGCTATAATTTTCTCTAGTATCTATTGAAAAATCAGGACATTTTCTGAAAAAAGAGAGATGTTTTTAGATGTTTTTTGAGTCTGGAAAAAATAAATGCTTTTCCCATTGTAAAAAGGAACCCCTCACTACAATCAGTGGCAGATGCTCAAGATTTGAACAACTTCCTCGGGAGTGAGGTAAGTGTGATGGAATCAGGAAAGTGGTGCTCAAGATGCATGGGGCCAGATTAATTGTTGGTGTAAATGCATGTAGTTCTATTTACAGCCACAACATTTTGCCATTCTACACCAACAAAGAATGTGGCCAACTGTACTTTAAAAATGCATGTAATCGCTACAGATAAACTAACAAGAATTACGATTACTCCCCATCTCTACCTCTCCAGCAGTGATTAAAATGGGACAGTGTGTCTGATTCATTGTGGATTTCAGCACAATTACCTAGTTACTGTCTAATCTCAGTCAGCTATGTAACTGCCTTGGCTTTCCAACCATGCAACTCAGTGAATCATCTTACACACAGGTGTACGAGCAATAGCTGAGTTTTTGGCCATTTCCAAGTCAGAAGAGACTCAAGAACAAGTGCAAATTCTGTTGGATTCTTTAGGCCATGGCAATCCCAAGTATCAAAACCAAGTATACAAAGGCCTGGTTGCTTTACTGCCATGCACATCCCCCAAAGCCCAACAGCTGTCTTTACAGACCCTCCGGACTATGCAGGTGAGCAGAACAGATGTCATCAAACTGTAGCCCATTTGGGAATACCTGTCTAGGGGTGCATATCCTGTGGAGCAGTGTTTTTGTGGAGGTTTTTTAACTAAGGGAATGAGATTTTGGGTGTTCTTACCTCCCTTAAATTCTCTCTGACCTGGAAATATGCACTCACATAAAAATGCTAGCTGTATGTCAATAAGCCAGGCAACGATAGAGCTAAGCAGTGAGGTAGGTAGCACCTTTGGTGGTCTAATGCTCTTGAATTCTGGCAATCTCTCATTTGAAATTTTAGTCCCTAGGCATCATGGAAGGGTGGGTGTCGCTCCATCTCAAATCAGTAGGAGCTGGATCCTTTGCTTTTGAATATAAAATGAATGTCTGTCTCTTCTGTCACCCACCACATGAGAGAGGGGATCACAGACATAGCACTATTAAAATCTGAAATCTGTTCTAGTGTCTCTGTTAGCTGGAGATCAATGAACCTCATACTCAGGCTTAAGGAGTAGTGAGAGACGGAGAGGATTTTATGGAGATCTTTACAAGATTTTGTCTTCCGTTCCCCCACACTTTGCAGAACACTTGTCTGCTTTCATTGTAAGCTCTTTGGGGCAGGGAATTCTCTATCTCTTTTTCTTACTGGGTCCCTGATCCCGATTAGAGCCACTGGGCACTGCCATGTTAAAAATATTAACAATAATGTGCTGCTACACCAAGGCCTGAGACCCCTAACGCTAGACTTACATGGAGTCCTATTCAAGAGTAACTGCTCACCAACCTGGGAAAGGGTTACAGAAACAGCCCAAGAGATGTTTCCCTGAGCCTCTCAGAGCGCAGGACCATGCAGTTTCTCTGTACTTTGAGGATCACGCACGTGCACACAGCAGGGGGCTGAGATGTGTGACAGCCGTGCAGAATAACACCCGCCTTGTTCCTTTCCTTGGCAGGCCATCGTGGGCCCGGCCCATCCCAGCATTGTGAAGGCGGTGCTGGGCGTGCTCCGCTCTGTGCACCTGGAAGTTCAGCACGAAGGTAAGAGCCATCGCTGTACTGCACACCCCTGATGCTGTCTGCTCAGGAGGAACCCAGTTTGGAATCATTCCTGGGGAGGTTAATCTCGGGGGACCTCCAGAGCCACTTCCCTGGCAGCAGCCACAGGCTAGGTCTACACTGCAGCTTCTTGCACAAGAACATCTCCACACTGCTTTTCCAAAAATGCTTTTAATGGAAAACTTTTCCGTTAAAAGCATTTTTGGAAATTCATGCCAGTGTAGAAGTAGCGGAGGGAGGAAACAGTAACCAGCTGTGTGTTTGTCAGTACTCACTGCTCAGCTTCATGTCCCAGTATTGCTCGTGCTCTGGCTTTTTCCTCCTGTCCCACAGGGTCCATGTCTCCCACTGCTGCCTGGTAGGAGCAGGGCTCAGAGCACAGGTCTCTGTAGGAGATTAGTGAGCTAAGCACTGGGGGAGCTGGGGCCAAGCTGCCCGCTCTCTGCTGCCCCAGGGTGGGCTGTGAGTCTCTGCAGGCTTGGGGTGAAGGCTCAGCAGCCCTTGCACCAGCGTTTACCCGAAGTGACCAGCACCACAAAGCTGCCTGCCCTGCCCCACCCCAGGGAAGTGCGGAACGAAGCACCCCCAAGCTCCTGCTCCTGGGCTGTCCCCTCCTCCCCGGAAACCAGCGTGCAGGCTGCGGCTGCGCAGTGTGCCCAGGGATGCTCATTTGCATACCCACAATGCATTGCGCACGGTGACCTGCGACCCTGATCCGTGGGGTAGAGTTTGCTCCTAGGACCCCTGGTTCCCATGCAAAACTCGGGCTATCAGTGCGCCAGTGCAACAGGCTGCAGGGGCACGTGGGTTTGCGGGCGGTCCGGTGCAGCCACTGTGATCTGAGAAGCAGACGCTGTTTGCCTGGCAGCACCTCCGCGGCGCACTTTGTATACTCTGGTTTCTCTTCAGATCGTATAAATCTTTCGCCTTTTACTAAAGATTTCCGTGGAGAGGAACATTTACGAGTTTGTACCCAATTTTTTGAGGCTTCACTTCGGTGAAGCTCCCTGTTGTGGTCAAAAATAGAAGCGGTTTATGGGTGTATTAGATGGAATTAGCGCAAGTGATTTTGCCTGTGTGCGCTGCGATAGATTAACGCGCCTGTGTCTCTATTAGTTAAGAGTGTCTGGTTTCAGCTGCTGGAGTCACGTTTAACGTCACTGATCTTAACTAATTTATGCAGACCGTATTTCTCCTGTATGTTTTCTCTAGGAAGTGTCTCCGTATTTCTTTCTCTCCCGCGTTCATTCATTTTCAGATAGGAAGGGTTTTCGGACATTGATCCTTCTCCAATTTGGTGCTTTCCCCTGTACTCACTCAGGGACGTTGATCTACCTTTCCATGTTTATATATCATGGTACAAAGTGAATCAATCACAGCAGCTTCCTCCTCCCGCCATGTTTTTCTATATTTTTGGGAACTGATTCATCATTTTAGGTCTTTAGCTCCGCTTTGCAGTTGGAAAGACGCACAGCGGACGCAGGCCTGTTCAAAGAGCCGCTTTTTCCCCTTGTGGTGTCCCTATTTTGTCTGAGTATTTTGCAGCAGGTTTTCGTGCTTCAAGCCGGACCTGATGGGTGGGCACCTTATTTTTTAATGCCGGGTATGTAACGTGCTAGGGCACAGTCCGTGCTACAAGCACAGGGCGCTCAGGACTCTGACGTTTATTTCTGCCGGGGTCCGGGGGACATTCAGAAGCGCAGTGAGAGCGCTGGCTCCCGCGTCCCGCAACCGTGGCGCAGGCGGAGGGAGCCGCAGCAGAGCGAGACAAGGTGCTGATCGCGCACACACGCGGAACTGCCCGGCCCGGCCCGCGGCAGCGAGCTAGGGGCTGCAGCCGCAGCTCGGAGATCTGGGCTTCTCCGCGCCCTCGGGCGTACCCAGGGGAGCTCATTTACATACCCATGATGCATTGCGCACAGAGATTCGCCACCCGCGTCCATGGCGCAGAGTTTGCTCCTAAAACCCCTGTTTCCCACGCAAAACTCGGGCTGTCAGCGCGGCAGAGCAACAGGCTGCAAGAGAGAGGGGGCGAAATTTGCGGGCGGTCCGGTGCAGCCACCGTGATATGAGAAGCAGACGCTGTTTGCCTGGCAGCGCCTCCGCGGCGCGTTTTGTATACTCTGGTTTCTCTTCAGATCGTATAAATCTTTCGCCTTTTACTAAAGATTTCCGTGGAGAGGAACATTTACGAGTTTGTACCCAATTTTTTGAGGCTTCACTTTTGTGAAGCTACCTAATGCTGTTAAAAAATAGATGTAAACGGTTTTAAGACAAATTATTTTAAACTGCAAATTTTTTAAAAAGGAATTGTGCAGAACTGAAACATTCTTACAATTCAATGTATGGATTTTTTTTTCTGTGGGCTGTCTGAACTTCTCAGGAGCTCTCACAACCTTTTGCTATCGTTTTTTGTAGTCTATTATACCAACACCCAACCCAGGTATTCAGATTGCTTTTAATCATTCACCCGGGTTAATTGCACTTCAAACTGAAGACAAAACTAGTAGGCAATTCTCTAATTGGCTACATTAAGGCTGGGTGGATGGGCATGATTTCGTGCAAAAAGTATTTCCGTATTTGCGCAAGAGAATGTCTACACTGGCTTGATGCTTTTGTGCAAAAGACATGGGCCAGGGTAGACGCTCTCTTGCGCAAGAAAGCTCCGATGGCCATTTTAGCCATCAGGCTTTCTTGTGCAAGAAATTCATGTTGCCTGTCTACACTGGCCTCTTGCGCAAGAACAGTTGCACAAGAGGGCTTATTCCTGAGCAGGCGCATCATAGTTCTTGTGCAAGAAGCACTGATTTCACACATTAGAACGTCAGTGTTCTTGCGCAAGAATTCCCCACCAGTGTAGACAGGCAGCATGCCAATGTAGACACAGCCAATGACTCCAAAATCTTTCTCGTGATCATTGTAGTACATTAGTTCCCATCATATGAGCCTCAAGGTGGCACTTTGGCTTCTTTCCTTGTCCTCAGCCATTCAGCTGATCCAGGATCTCATGGCCTATGAAGTCCGGCCAGCACTGTTGAAGGGCCTGGTTGAATTACTTAAACCACCAGGGACGGAGGCTGCTAAAGGGAAAGGCAAAATCCTGGAAGGTAAGAGGCCTCCGCAGTTTCTCATCACATCTGCTTGGAGGCTGAAGGCTGCTACCAAGTGGGGCTGCAGCAGCAGGCTGTGGAGGAGGACAACTGGTTGGTGCTGGTTCCTGCTGGGAGGCTGATGTGCCCTGCAACAGGAGACCCAGCAAGGGCTGGGTGTCCCCACCCACTTCCCAGAAGGACCTAAAAATCCTGCGTTCCTTCAGCTCTGCCTTGCCAGAGGCCCTTCTAGAAGGGACTCTCCCTCTTTTCTCCTCATGCATCGGGGCAGCTGAGCTCCATGGGGAAGCTGGGGCAGTCCCAGCAAGTGGGGGACAATGCCCGGCATTGTGGACGGCCGCCCTGCCCCGTGGGAAGGTGAGAGGAGATGGCAGGATGTGTCCCGATTGGAGGCCGGCTCTGCCCTCTCCATGCCCTCCCTCTCCCCTGCGCCATGCCCACAAACGGGCCTTTGCGTGTGCAGGTCACAGCTCCCGTGGTTGCTGCTTTCCAGACAGGATCCTGCGTCCTGTACTCAATGGCCCTCCGGCTAGTTGGGGAGATCAGCGTTGTCTGCTTGGGGGGATGGGCGCGGCCAGGCCAAACCAAACCTCCAGCTTGTGGGAGCCCTCTGCGCAGGAACGGGAATTGTGATGCTATGTGTGGGTTGGGCAGGTTTGTTCAGCTTAACGCTGCGAAGCTAGCGGAGGGCAGGGGCTGCCACGCGGCCCTTTGGAGGAGATCTTACACTGACTGCCGATGAACGGTCCCAGGGCGTCATTTCAAGGGTCATGGCAACCAACAGCCTGTCTCAATGAAACAGGCTGTAACGTCCCTGCCGTGCTGCATTCGCTGGACAGGGTCCCTGAGCAGTGACGGCTGATGGTAAAGCACTGAGCTCCAGTACAGGTGGCTGGAGCTCACCTGGGGGATGTTGCTGTCACAGATCCTCTTCTGGTGCAGCTGGTCTAGTTCCCCAGGTTGTTACTACAGCTTGATGGCAGATGTGCGGCGCTAGCTGTTGTTGTCATGCTGTCCATTGTTCTCCCATTCAGAGCTAGTCACTCACCATCTCGCTGAACCCTTGTCGGTGCATGTACAGCAGGCCGCTGCGGCAAAAACCATTGGGTAAGAAAGCTCAGAGCAAAATACAAGAATTTATCTAGGGCACGTGCAGGGTTTAGAGCAGCTGCTTCCTAGAATGGCCTGGGTAGCACTTAGTCCTGCTGGGAGGCCAGGGATCAGACTTGACAACCTCTCGAGGTCCCGTCCAGTCCTCTGAGTCTCTGATTCCTGTCTGGAGCGAAGGCCAATCCTGCTAGGCAGTCTTCAGTCCTCTGCCAGTGAGAATGTCCCTGTGGCTCTGCAGCTCCTCCACAGACAGACTTGGGGGGCTTTTGCACATTCACAGTCCTTAGGAGCTTAGAGAGAAGCTTCTGCTTGGGCCCAAAATCCAGGCCCTCCCCTGTTACCGCCACACCTGACATTCATTAGAGGTGAAACGTAGCATGAGCCTTTCCTTCGGCCATTAACACACAGTCAGAACGTTCCCTCCATTCCCAGCGTTAGCAGCTGGCCACAGAACTGACCTGAGCATGCTGCGGATCAGCACCCAGCCTGGAGTCTTCACGAGGGTCCCTTGGAGCGAAATGCCTCACTGAGCAATTTCACATCACCAGCACGGACACCACGTTCAGTGTCGGACCCAGGGAATCCCCAAACTCGGTCTGTCTCCACGCCTCTCTGGAGATCAGGCCCTGGCAGAGTCCACAGGATGATCCTGTGCCACATTTCCCCCTTTAAAAGCAGAAGACATAAAGCACCAGCCAGGTTGTTTTCCCCAGTGATGTGCCCAATAGCAAAATCATCTAATGTAAGGCTCTACGCTGGATAGAACCATAGAACCCCAGGGCCGGCAGAGACCTCAGGAGTCATCCAGTCCAGCCCCCGGCCCAAAGCAGGACCAACCCAACACAATCAACCCAGCCAGGGCTTTGGCAAGCCGGGACTTAAACACCTCTAGGGATGGAGATTCCACCCCCTCCTTAGGGAACCCAGCCCAGCGCTTCCCCACCCGCCTAGGGAAATTGTCCTAATCTCCAATCTAGACCTCCCCCACTGCAACTTGAGACCATTGCTCCTCGTTCTGCATCTGTCACCCCTGAGACCAGCCTCTCTCGAACCTCCCCTCAGGTAGCTGAAGGCTGCTCTCAAATCCCCCCTCACTCTTCTCTTCTGCAGATGCTGCGTTCCATGGGGTGGATTTGCCAGGAGTTCATATGACAATCAGGTGTTCTCATGGTCAGTCATTACAAGCAATGTAGATCCCCAAACATAGATTTAGAGCCCGGGGCTTCCTGTTGGGGTGAGGAAAAGCATCTGTCCTTGCTCGTTGGTGTCAGTCATTCACTGACGAGCGCAGTCAGGCGGATCCGCACCACACATCAGGCCTAGAATCCGTGCTTCTGGATTGCTAGATGAGGCTCTTCCGTTTCATTCCCAGGATGCTCTGCTTGGGGCGGGATTCTCCTCGGAGCCTGACTCTGCCGCTTTCCTCACAGCATTCTAGCCAAGGACTCGACCAAGCTGGCCGAAGAGCTGATCCAGCTGGGCGCAGTGCATGGCCTCATGTGTGCTATGGGGAACCAGGACCACACCGGCTCCCAGAGGCAGGCCAGCATCGCTCTGGAGGTGAGACTCTCCGTGTCATTCCAATAGAGGCACCAGTGCTGGTACAGCAACATTCCCAGGATTTCCGGTACCTCCACTGCTTGTGCTGGAGGATCAGCTTTACCCTTCCTCACCCAGCTCCTCCTCCTGCTTAATTATCATGATTCCCAGACAACACCCTTCCGCAAGGTGGAGACAAGGGCAGTAGATACATGGGAAGAGCCCTTCATAGCACAGGTTGCAGTTTTGAATAATACCGACTCAGGAAATCCAGCATAAAGGCCACGCTTCAAAACCCCACCCTGCACCCTAGAGAAATACAGAGCGAAGGGGTTCCCATCCAGTCCACCGGGAACATCATCGCCCGAACTGCCCAGCAGCATGATGGTTCGCTCTGTCCCTGCCGATCCGATCGCAGTAGCGGAAATAGCCAGCTGCTCCGGCTGGATGGGCAGAGCGGGGCAGGGGTGGAGTAACAGCCCTTTCCCCACCTATCTAACCCGGGCCGCCCGCAGCGTGGGTGCTCCCAGAGCTGAGCCGCGGAATGGGGTAGTGGAGAGAGAGATCGGAGCTGGGACGGAGAACCGGCCGGTGCTTCGCGGTGGAGCCAGATCTCTCCCGTGCGCCGTTCGGCACTTACCAGAAGTGTTTGGTTGCAGCATTTGGTCCGGATGTTTCCCACCGTGGCGGAGCATGTGAGGAAAGCCACAGGAGAGAGACTGTTCCAGCTTTTTATGGTAACTGGGCTTCTCTAGCCGCCCGGGCCATCGGTCCACTTGGCAGGGTTAACGGGGCCTGGGGTCCATTCCTCTAAAGCCACAGGGAGCTCCAGTCCTGATCAGACGCCAGAACCCCTAGGGGCAGATCACCGTGTCCTCAGGTACACAAACCCCTTGGGCGTGGGCTCAACATCCCCACAGCATCGCTCCAGGCACTGGCTGGCAATGCACTCACCTGCCCGAAGGAGCTGGGAGAATTGGGGTGAACCAGGGGGCCTGAGGTCTGACGACCTCTGGGGAGGTGGGTGGCTCGGTTCTGGCTTGGGCCCATCTCGGAGTGCCGGGGAGGGCCAGGTCTGGACTCACCTTTGTGTGGCGCTGCTGGCAAAGGGGCGAGGAATCACGGCCAGAATGAGCCTCCCTCTGCATCCGAGCTCTCTCGCCGTGAGGGCCCAGGGCCCTTTGAACCCGAGCGGGACAAAGCCATAGGAGACGCCTTGCCGCCAGCAATCGTGGGCTCTCCGTACGCAGTGAGTCCTCCCAGACTCCCTTGGGTTTCCTGTTGGGGGGGCAAGGCAGCGATCTCCGCTGGGTCCGTTCAGTGCAGCAGGGCTGCGCCCATTTACCTCGTGCACGGGGATGGGCGGTGCCTCCTGTGCCTGGCTGTTCAGCTGCATCTTCCTTTGCTTGAGCATTTTGGAAGCCTTGTCAGGAACCTTCCTCCCTCTCTGGCTGGCCCTTCCCATGCCCTGGCTGGTTCTCCAAGTCCCGGTAAGCTGCTCCCTTGCCTATTTTGCTGTTTCTTTGGCCTAGAGAGATGCCAAGACCTTGTATATGAACATGGATGTGATACAGGTGGAAATTCTGGCATCCAATAAAGTGACCATTCCAGAAAGTGAATCCAGCCCAGAAAGGATGCTGCACATGGAAGGTGAGTCAGGGCCATGAAAGGCTGACGCCGAGACTCTGCGACAGCTGGAGCCAACTCTTCCCTCATGTACACTAGGGCTGCATCTAGACTAGCCAGTTTTTCCGCAAAATCAGCCGCTTTTCCAGAAAAACTTGCCAGCTGTCTACACTGGCCGCTTGAATTTCCACAAGAACACTGACTTCCTACTGTAAGAAATCAGTGCTTCTTGTGGAAATACTACGCTGCTCCCGTTCGGGGAAAAGTCCTTTTGCACAAAAGGGCCAGTGTAGACAGCTCAGATTTGTTTTGCGCAAAAAAGCCCCGATCACAAAAATGGCGCTGGGGGCTTTTTTGTGGAAAAGCGAGTCTAGATTGGCCACGGACGCTTTTCCACAAAGGCTGTGTCTACACTGGGCCACTTATTCCGGAAAATCAGCTGCTTTTCCGGAATAAGCTGCGAGCTGTCTACACTGGCCCTTGAATTTCCGGAAAAGCAACAACGCTCTACTGTACAAAATCAGCCGCTATTCCGGAAAAACTATTCTGCTCCCGCTCGGGCATAAGTCCTTATTCCGGAACACTGTTCCGGAAAAGGGCCAGTGTAGACAGCCCAGTAGACTTTTCCGGAAAAAAGCCCCGATCGCAAAAATGGCGATCGGGGCTCTTTTCCGGAAAAGCGCGTCTACATTGGCCACAGACACTTTTCCGGAAAAAGGGCTTTTCCGGAAAAGCAGCCTGCCAATGTAGACGCTCCTTTTCCGGAAAAACTGAAAACGGAATAGTATTCCGTTTTAAGCAGTTCCGGAAATTCATGCCAGTGTAGACACAGCCAAAAAGTGCTTTTGCGGAAAAGCGTCCTGCCAATCTAGACGCTCTTTTCCACAAATGCTTTTAATAGAAAACTATTCTGTTAAAAGCACTTCCGGAAAATCATGCTAGTCTAGACGTAGCCCAGGTGTAAATCAAAGGCCAGCCCTCCTATGCCAGAGGGGATACCCTGGTGTGAGAGGAGATTCGGGCCCCACGTGTGTAGGGCCAGGGAGCCAGAGGCTAGGGCAGGGGGCCAATCTCAGGTCTCCTGCCTGGAGCTGACCTGTCGGTGTCTGGATGCTGGAGGGTTCACTATACAAACCAGCCTTGGAGTAACCCCGTGCACAGCCAGACCTCTTCACCTCTGCCATAACCACGCCCGGCTCTGCTTTGTTCTTCCAGAGGAAGGCAGCATGGAGTGAAATCTTCAACAGCAGCAGGCCAGCTCTTCTCCCGCTTCCCTCTGTCTACCGCTCCCAGCCGGGCGGTGCCCTTCTCCCCCCTGCACACCCTCAGAAGCGGAGGTGGGCTGTGAAGCTGGCCCCCCACACGTGGCCTCTCCGAATCGGGGTCTGCAGCCTCTGGCTTTGGTTCCTTCCGCTCAACGCCCCCCGTAGCGAACTTCCCCCTGGGCTGTGATTTGGAAACCACATGGCCTGGCTGCTCCTCCCTGAGATCGGGACTCCCCTTGGGCCGCCCCTGCGGCAGGACTGTCTCCCCAGAGCCCTGGCTGAGCCCCCTGAGAGCAGTCCCCGCCTCCCATCTCCACTGAGGCAGGGAGCAAAGCGGGGGAAGGGCTGCAGCCGGCAGCGGAGGAGCACCACCCAGGACATCACTTGCATACCCATAATGCTTTGCGAAAGCAAGGCGCCTTCTTGCACCGTTTGCTCTTTGTGTTTTACCATCGCAAATTCCAGTTCTAAAGTCCACGTCCGACTCGGTTCCATGGTTTTCTCTTGGTATCGCGGGTTAAAACCTGTATTAAAACTAGTGTTTGAAATCAAGGTCACGTTCCAGAGATTTCGAGGTTTTGTACCTCTGGGGTCACGCTTGGGTTAGGAAAAATTCCCAGGCTCGGTTACAAAGTTTAAGATACACACAGCGGCCACCGCAAGCATCGTCCCCATTTGTGACAGAACAGTCCGCCCCACGAGAGCCTGTTTTCCTTTGCCCTCCCTTTACCGTCTGCGCACAGAGCCAACGTAGACTCTGCTGTGTGTCCTGGCGCCAGGCCTCGGTTCCGCCATGGTCAGGGAAGTATCGGACAGCGGAGTGAGCCGCTCCCTTTGGGGAACAAAGAACAAATCATTGCAAGGCTCCTGTTCTGCCCTGCTAGGAGCACAGCGGCAGGCAGCCTGCTGCAGGGGGAGGGGACTGACACTGCTGCTTTGATATTCTCTGGCAGCAGCAGGGAGAGCAGGACAGGGTGTATTGATGGAGACATGGCGAACGTCCCAGGAGGTGCCTGGAAAAGCCACCTTCAGGGAGCAGAGAATGAATCCCCTATAAAGAGCCTAATGCCCAGCAACAAACACACACAGTGTACCAGGCTCCCTCCACACGGCTCTGACAGGGATGCTCTAAGCTATGCATGGTGCCTGCAGGACATGAGGGTTGGACCCAGTGCCCCCCTCTGGTTTAGGGCCTGAGGCGCTCATAGAATCCTCAGGAGTCATCGAGTCCAGCCCCCTGCCCAAAGCAGGGCCAATCCCAATTCTCAGGTGCCTAGTCATTGTGAAGACCAAGCCAGACACCTGTGGACAGGATCACAGAGGTAGGGACCTCCCAAATTCAGTCAATTTTGGTCAGTTCCCTAGAATCTCAGAATCATAGCACACTAGGGCTGGAAGGGACCTCGAGAGGTTGTCAAGTCCAGTCCCCTGCCCTCATGGCAGGACCCAGCACCATCCAGACCAGTGTTTCTCAACATTTTTCTTTATTATAAAATATCCATTTTTCAAAAAACAAACAAATACCCCCAGTACCTACAGTTTTCAGACACAAAATATTTTTCTACCCTTGCAACACATTTGTTTATACAACTTAACCATAGCCGGGCAGGCAATGAAATTGTTGGGTGTAAAAAGTACAAAAATAATAAAGCGCTGTAAAACTTAAAACAAACATTCCATTTTCTCCAAATTTCAGTTGTGTTGTCATATCCAACTGCCCCCCCCCCAGACTTCTCTCGAGTACCCCTAAGGGTACTCGTACCACTGGTTGAGAAACACTGGGCTAGACCATCCCAGATCGATGTCTATCTAACTTGCTCTTAAATATCTTCAGTGATGGAGACTCCCCAACCTCCCTAGGCAATTTATTCCAGTGCTTAACCACCCTGACAGGCAGGAAGTTTTTCCTCATGTCCAACCTCAACCTCCTTTGCTGCAGTTTAAGCCCCTTGTGTCTTGTCCTGTCCTCTCCCTCCTCCTTGTAACACCCTTTTAAATACCTGAAAACAGCTATCATGTCCCCCCCCCTTCTCTTTTCCAAACTAAACAAGGCCAATTCCTTCAGCCTAGCCTCATAGCTCATGTTCTTGAGATCTTTCATCATTTTTGTTGCTCACAACACTCCTGTTAATGCAGCCCAGAGTCATGTTTGCTTTTTTTGCAACAGCATCACACTGTTGACTCATATTTAGTTTGTGAACCACTATGGCCCCTCAATCTCTTTCTGCCGTACTCCTTCCTAGACAGTCACTTCCCATGCTGTATGTGTGAAACTGATTGATCCTTCCTAAGTGGAGCACTTTGCATTTGTCCTTATTAAACATCATCCTGTTTACCTCAGAGCATTTCTCCAGTTTGTCCAGATCATTCTGAATTATGAGCCTGTCCTCCAAAGCACTTGCAACCCCTCCTAGCTGTGTGTCATCTGCAAACTTAATAAGCCTCCTCTCTATGCCAATATCTAAATCACTGAAGATATTGAACAGAACCAGCCGCAAAACAGACCCCTGTGGAACCCCACTTGTTATGCCCTTCCAGTATGACTGTGAACCATTAATAACTGCTATCTGAGAACGGTTATCCAGCCAGTTATGCACCCACCTTATAGTAGCCCCATCTAAGTTGTATTTGCATAGTTTATTGATAAGACCATATCAAATGCCTTACTAAAGTCTAGGTGGCCCACATCCACTGCTTCTCCCTTAGCCACAAGACTCATTATCCTAGCTTTCTTTGTGATCAGATTGGTTTGACATGATTTGTTCTTTACAGATCTATGCTGGCTGTTATCACATTATCTGCCACATGAATTCCTTAATTACTTGCTCCATTATCTTTCCTGGTCATAGGCTTTTTAAGTGATACATTTCATTTCAGATATTTAAACCTAAATTTTGAGTGTTGTCATTGTGGGTGGTTGCAAGGTTCTCATACGGGCTTTGCGGTGCCGCTACCTTGTACTGCCACTGGCCACGCTGCTTTCAGCGCTGCAGAGCAGCAGCTGCTGACCAAAAACCCAGCTCTGAAAGCAAAGCTACTGCCAGCAGCTGTACAGAAGGAAGGCTGGCCTGGGAAGCTGGTGCCACCTTTACATCTGTGCTGCTCCCTGCAGAACGGGACCCTTAGTCAGCAGCCACCCCTCTGGCCACCCAATTCTGAAAGCAGCAGCACAGGAGTACGGGTGGAAATGCCATGCGGCCCTTACTTCGGTACTGCTGCTGGTGGGGCAGGATCTTCGAAGCTGGGCACCTGACCAACCTTGCAACCACTGCTCAACAGCTGCCCAGCTCTGAAAGCAGCACAGAAGAGTGGCAACATCCCAACCCTCCTAAACCCTCCCACATCAAGAAGGATGTGGAGAAATCAGAGCGGGTCCAGAGAAGAGCAACAAGAATGATTAAAGGTCTAGAGAACAGGACCTATGAAGGAAGGCTGAAGGAATTGGGTTTGTTTAGTTTAGAAAAGAGAAGATTGAGGGGGGACATGATAGCCGTTTTCAGGTACCTAAAAGGGTGTCATGAGGAGGAGGGAGAAAACTTGTTCTTCCTGGCCTCTGAGGATAGGACAAGAAGCAAGGGGCTTAAACTGCAGCAAGGGAGGTTTAGGTTGGACATTAGGAACAAACACCGGAATAAATTGCCCAGGGAGGTTGTGGAATCCCCATCTCCGGAGATATTTAAGAGCAGGTGAGATACATGTCTATCAGGGATGGTCTAGACAGTATTTGGTCCTGCTGTTGGGGCAGGGGACTGGACTCGATGACCTCTCGAGGGCCCCTCCAGTCCTAGTATTCTGTGATTCTAAAATAACCTTGTGATCCCCTCTCTGCAACTCTTTTGGATCAGGACCCCCAATTTGATAAACAGGAGTCTCCTTCCATGAAATCTGGCCTTCTGTGCACGGCTACCCTGTGCAATCCACATTTCATAGGACGACACCAGATTTCACGGTCTGACACATTTTGCAAGGCAGTGAATTGGGTAAGGGCCTCTACATTGCCTGACTGCAGAACACTTCTGACTGGACCCCAACATTTTATTTACTTATTTCCTCTGATTACAGCTTTGGCCAAGGAATTCAGACCTTGACAAAAAATAATTGAGTGGCCAGGGCTGGCTGTGCAGCTTGCAGGCTCCCCAGGCTCAGAGTGAGGCACTGAATGCGCTCTGCAGCGACTGGCTGCCTTAGTGTGCTAGTTTAACACACCAGAATGACACCACACTAATGCAGGCACCTGGCTAAGAGGAGGGTACAACAGTCAAACACACAGGGCCCTCCGACTTACTGCAAGAGAAATACTGCTCCTGGGCAGCGTTTCCGGTGCAGACAGCTGGGGTACGTCTAGACTGGCTAGATTTTGCACAAAAGTGGCCACTTTTGCGCAAAAACTTGCCAGCTGTCTACACTGGCCGCTTGAATTTGCGCAAGAACACTGACTTTGTAATGTACAAAATCAGTGCTTTTTGTGCAAATACTTTCACGTTCCCGCTCAGGAAAAAGCCCTCTTGCGCAAGAAGGCCAGTATAGACAGGGAAGAATTGTTTTGCGCAAAAAAGCCCCGATGGCTAAAATGGCGAGCGGGGCTTTCTTGCTCAAAACCGTGTCTAGACTGGCCACGGATGCTTTTGTGCAAAAGCACTTTTTGCGCAAAAGCATCCGTGCCAATCTAGACGCGCTTTTGCGGAAATACTTTTAAGGGAAAACCCTTTCCGTTAAAAGTATTTCCGCAAAATCATGCCAGTCTAGACGCAGCCCTGGTGTCTGAGCAAGTGGTGTCCAGCCTCAGTAACTCCCAGCCTCTCACGTCCACTAAAGCTTTTGTTAAAACAGCTCGTGTGTCTGGCAGTTCAGCTCCGGGATCGCTCCAAGGCCATTGCTAGGCTGGTTTTACCGCGCCTGGGGGGGAAGCTGGGGTTGCCTGTGGTAGCACCTCAGTGCAGAGGCTGGATTCCAATAAATCCCAAATTGTGTCTCAGAGCAGCCTCTGAGCCCTTCTAAGAGCAATCCCCATAGCTACTCCCCTCATTTCACCCTCTTTCTGGAGAGGAGACAAAGCTTCATCCTAGGGGGTTTAAGTACCTTCCTGCCACTTCAGCACAAAAATCCAACATCTAATCAGCTGAGACCTCAAAATCTTTGCACAGGTGCTGCCTAACTGTGGAAGCATCTCCCTGTCTACTGGTCAAGGCACTTGAATTCCTGCCCCTGGCTACATGCAAACTGCTGGTGGTGCTGAGCTGCTGCGTGCCTTAGGTCATACCCGAGACAGGCCGGGTTCTCCAACTAGGCCTTTGCCTCCTTATGGCTCCTCTGGGGTCTGGCCCAGCAGAATGGGGGATGTGAAAACCGCTTCCTCACACGCCATGTGTGGTGTGATACACCATTGCAGTGCAGCCTCCATCTGCATGTGTGTCAGGCGCACCCTGCGCCCATCAAGCATGTAAACAGTATTAACCCGCTCCTGGGGCTGGCTTGTTAAAAAGCAGTTGCCTGGCAAAAGAACCCTCCCTTCCCACTCCATCTCCATCTTTTGGATGTCAAAGCCCGCCCACAGGCCATAGCGTTGCTAAAATCTGAGCTGGCGGCAGCAACTAAGTCATTTGCTCAGCTGCACACTGCAGCGTTTGTAAAGGATGTGCTAGGAAGAGCAGAGACAGGTGGCACGCTGGGCTGTAGCCACCTGCCTTCAGGAAAGGCACTAGTCCAAAGACTCATCTCCCCCGTTTCCCTTCCAAAAAACAGGAGACGAGATACTTTAATTGATTTTTTTACTTAAATACAAACAGCACAAATTTCAAAAGATTTGAAATGACCAACCAGTCCCCAAGGCCAGTCTCTGCCATAAAGGCCAGTCTGTTTTGGAGGGAAGGTTGTCAGCGAATCTCTCAAAGAACTGACAGTCAACAAGAAATATTCTGTAAGTCAATAAATCCAGGAATATTTATCTACAAGTCACATTTCTTAAAAAAAATACAGATTTTATTTTATTCTTTTTACAAGTGTAGTCCATTTCCTTTGGAAAGAAGCTAGACTTGCAGTTCTGCACCATTTCACAAAACATCTAAGGAGCAAAAAAGTTTATGTACACCAGCATATACAAGTGTCTAGTTACATCAGAGTGGGTGACGGTCACTAAGGAGGGGAAGAGGCGTCTAATGACAGAACTGACAAGAGGGCATTTCTAGAACTACCACCACCAAGTCCCAACAGATGCTGGGTCCTGCATGGTAAAATGCTGCTATTCTGATGCGTGGTCTTCAGAAAGGACTGACGTAAGAATACTTTATTGCATCACATTTAAAATAGGCAGAGTTAACACAGAAACCACTAGCACGCGACACACACAGAAGAGAAAAAACAGTGTTTGCGAATCAGGCTTTGGTATATTTACTAAGGCCGCCTCTTACTCATCTGCTTGCTGGCTTGCTCCTCCAGCTGCATGGCAACAGCCAGGGACTCCACGACAT